GGAAGGAGGGCGCTTGTAAAACGCCGCAGTCCCGGCGAGGGAGCGTTAGAACAAGTCCGGGCGCGGGGACGGGTTTTCTCTCCCGAAGGGGAACGATGCCTCGCCTGGTGGGAAATCGGGTTTGCGAACTCGACTCTTGGCGTGCAAGCGTGTAAGCTCTCTCCTGGGGAATGGAGTAAAACCCTCAAGAACCCCGGAACGAAAACGGGGAGGTGAGGATTGTTCTTGTGGAAAGCTGGAAGGCCCGCCCGGCTGAAGAGGGAGCCGGACTGAGGCATCGCTGGAGAGAACCTTTTCTGAGCCCGTTCAGTGCTTGGGTTGTAATTCCAGTTCTCCCCAAACCTCAAAATGTGTAGGCGGCATCCCATAGAAGTCTCTCTGAATTTACTGTTGGTCACCCTAGCTGTCAGGACAATGACTTGGAGTTAATGCAGTTTGTTTCCTCATCAGACGTTTGCATCAGAAAGAAAGGACAAAGTGGACCCCCAACCATTGGGGTTCAATTGGTTGCCAAATTTGAATTGTTTCATCTATGGGTTGATTGACCTTATTGGAAGCTATGGAGGGTTGCACTTGGTTGGTTATGTCGATGGGATTCCTCCAAGAAGCTGTAGAAAGTTAAAAATTCATGGAAGAAGGTAATGGCAAACTACCTTGTGTTTTTGCAAGAAAAGTCTAAAGATTTATTTATAAGGGTACCAGCAGTTAAGTTCAATTTGAAGGAGACTTTTACTTTAACCTGTATTTAAATAAAGACTAATAGTTTTTATAATAATACCATTGTATTATTATATATTATTATAACACAAATAACACTAATAATAATAATAATTAATAGTAATAAGTATGGAACAGGCTTCCCCGTTTCCAAGTCTGTTAAAACCATACTATTCAACTGTGCCATTGGCTCTAGTTGACCATGGGCATCTATCTTTGAGGTGTGTGAGGAAATTGCATTTTTATTAGCCTGATTTTTTTTATTTTGTTTTGTTTTGTTCTTGCTTTATCGCTCACTGTCCAGAGCCTTAATCATTAGGGAAGTCTTCAGATATTACAAATAGTGTTTTCTGTTATTTATGGCCAGGTTGGTGGGGAGTTTCCCAAGCTGATGGTCCTTGGGGACTTCAACTTGCCTTCCTTGGAGATGGAGTCAGAGGTGGCTCAGGAGTTCATGGTCACCATAACAGTCATGGATCTGACCAAAGTTTCAAGGTTCTGACATGTGACAATGGTCATACACTAGATCTCATTTTCTTGTTGGAGCAGTGGTAATGTGTTCTGAAGTTGAGGGAGACTATCACTCCTCTGTCATGGACATATTCTCTGTTGGCCCTGAAGTTCTCTGATGTTTCCACTCTCATGCTGCAGGGAGGCTGGACTTGTTTGGTTGGTCTGCCCCAGGTGACTGATGAACTCAGGTTACAGAGGGAGCTTGGGGTTGTCCCTGAAGGTCTGGTGCACAGTCCAGTAGAGGCCTTGGCCACTGCCTGGAATGTGAGGACAGTAGAGACTTTGGATTGGACTGTTTCCATGTGGTCTCCCTTTCCCTGTGGATCCTGAAATTCTCCTTGGCTTACCGAGGAGTTGAGAGAGATGAAATGGTTGAAAAGAAGCCTAGAGCACCACTGAAAGACAATATGGAATAAATCGAACCGAGCATGAGCTAGAGCTGCTATTAGGGCCTAACTTGTGATGGTAAGGGAGGCAAAATGCCAGGATTTCTCTACCTAATTTGCATCCACAAGTAGTCACTCAGCTGCCCTGTTCAAGGCAACCTGGACCCTCTGGGGGAGAATTGATTCAGAAGTTTATTTGCAGGGATACTGTGAAGGATATGCTTAGCATCTATAGGATAAAATCGCTTGGATTCATTCCAAGTTGGACTCTGGCCTTGAGGCAGGTCCCTTGAAATTCAATCTAGCTTGATTATCTGGGAAGAGCGTGACCCTGTTATTTCTGATGAAATAGACGGGGTTTTCAGGACTGTTAGCTCAGCCACTTGCGTATTAGACCTATGTCCCTCCTGGCTGGTTAAGGTTTTCAGGGAGGTGACATCTGGTTGGGTTCTGGTAGTAGTCAATTCTTTTTTGAGAGAGGTGGTTGCTGGGAGTCCTTGATTTGCAGCTCCTGTTAGAGGAACAGGTAGTGGCTGTGTCCAGAAGAGTCCTTGCACAGCTTTGTGTTGTATACTAATTATGCACTTTCCTGGACTGTGAGGCTCTGCTCTCAATCAGCCACACCTTAGTACCCTTTCAGTTGGACTATTGCAAAGCTCTCTACATGGGGCTACCCTTGAAGAACATCTGAAATCTGCAGTTGGTACAGAGTGCAGCGCATCTCATTCTGTGCAAGCTGCACCTCTGCTCCACAAGCTGCATTGGTTGCCACTGTGCTTCTGGGTTTTTGCTGGTTTTTTAAAATTGTTATTAGCCGCCCAGAGTCACTTGTTTGAGATGGGCTGCCATATAAATTGAATAAATACATACATTTAGCTGCCTGTGGTCTTTGTTTCTCGGCTGTATTATTGCATCTGCCCAAATATTTTGTTTCAATGCACTTTCAATTTTAGTTTGGATACAAAGCCCCCTTCAAAGTGCTTTACAACATTAAAATATAAAAATACAACAGTATGATTTAAAAAAAACACACACATTTTCAGTATTGCAGTAAAAGGTTCTTATGCTGTGGCTTTTGTCCTGAAATGAAGAAAAAAGGAACCATTTATAGCAAGGGAGAGAGATCTGTGTATGCTGTTCCCATTATCCCTTATTATTGGCCAGACTGCCTGGTGCTGAACTGAATTCTAGTTTGGGGAAAAACATGGAAGCCTTTTGATGCACAGAAATAATATTGAGCTTGACACATTATTGAATGTGCAGATGACACCAGATTGGATGGGATAGCTAATACTCTAGATGACAAAATACAATATGATCTTGATCGGTTAGAGCAATAGAAGGAAAATAATAAAATGCAATTCAGCATTCTTCCGTTTGACTTGTCAATGATACATTTGAAAATGATTTTGGAGTTGTAGTTTATCATAGGATGTGTATGAGTAAGCAGTGTGATATGGCTGCAAAAAGAAGGCATATGCAATATTAGGGAGGAAATTGCTTCCAAATCATGGGCGATACTACTTTCATTCTTTTTCTGCACTGGTCAGATGCTACCTTAGGAGACTGGGGGATGTTTAACCTTGAAAAAAATGACCATGGGAAGTGTAGGTTGCAAATTTTTAGCTATGTGAAGAAGTGCCACACAGAAGAAAGTCAAATCCTGTTCATTATCATCTCATAGTTCAGGGTTAGGGCTAGCACTTGGAGAAAGGCAGATTCTGTTTTCTAACCTACGAGTAGTTTGAAAGCTCTACAAATTATCTAGGAGATGGTGGGCTCCTCTGTTGCATGTGTTCAAGCAGAAGTTGGATAGCCATATGTATATATTTAGTTTTGTTTGCTGGTCAGTGACCGAAATAAGAGACTTGATTTGACTATTTAATTTGGATTCTTGCACTGAGCATCAAGATTGGACTTGATAGTCTAAATGGCCTCTTCCAGTTCTATAACTGTGAAAGTTTGCGTTTTGATATACACATTTTCATTTACTCTCTCATATCTTACTACTTTTCATTCTCTTACAACTTTTGTTGTTGTTGGAATGTAGATAGTATGATGGCCTTTCGTTTTATATTACTCTGTGTAGAATTCTGTTCTACATAAAGTATACCATGTGAGGATCTCAAATGTGCAGCTGGAAATGCCTCAGGCCATTGCACAATGTAGGCTGCAAAGCTTTAAATATTCTGCTTCTTCAACACCCTTTGAGAAAGAAGTTTTGCTGCAGAGGAAATGTATGCTCCTCTGTCCTTCAGCTGGAGGTTGCACCACAAGGTAAGATGGAAAGACCAGGACATACCTAATTGCAGACAGAACAAAATTAGCCCCAGACTTTCAGCATGGGTGACTTTTCCCCCATAGATTGGACAACTTCAGCCTGGAAAATGATCTGCCACCATGATCAACGTGTTGACAGTTGCCATTCCTTTCCAGAGGAGGGTGAAGGAATTATGGATTGGTTTTATAACACCTTTACAGCAAATCCAATGGATGGGGTTGTGAAAGAGTACATTTACAATACAATGCAATGTATCAGCAAATGATTGTTTAGCTACTTCTCCTCCTCCCCCACAACCACCTTGAAATAACATGTACAGCCTGATACAATCTTTGAAATTGGAGTCTTAAAGCATAGAATAATCAATGAAATGGGAAATTCAGTTTAAAGTCAGGCAGTATGCTTGTATTTTAGTCAGCAGGAAAAAAAAATTGCTTTCTAGCTTACGGCAATTTTATCACATCCATTTATTTTCCTGCCTGCTTTTGTAGAGGAGTGGTTGCAAAACTAGATTCTTGGAGTGATTTGTCGTCTTTGCTTTTTGGGATAAACAGTTCCTATTGTGGTTAGTTACAGAGACCCATCTTCATTCCCCCTACAGTAATAGCAGACATAGGAATTTAAGTACTGTATGTATCAGTTTGGAAGTGAAAATGGACACTCCTTCTCCCCTCTAACTCTACATTCAAAGCAAATTCCCTAGATGTGCAGAAGTATAAGCTTATATTTTAAAAGCCTGTAGCATAAGGAACCTGCAAGTTTTAAAAAAAATGTTGGTAGCAGTTATAGAAGGCAACAGATTGCAATGGGGGAGAATCTAGAAGTCTTCCCCACTTTGAATATTATTGATATACAACTCATTTAATCTCCAACCAATTTTTATAATTTTTTAGAGATGATAGGTGATAGGAATCCATTCAGGGATGCTAAGAATTATAGACAAGCAGAATTTGGGTAGTCAAGGTTAGAAAAGGCTAGA